TTTTTTTTTGTCTTGGTAGTCAGTCTGCACTTAAATATCAACCATTTTCCTTTTTTGCTTCTTCCCTTAAAATTTATATGTATCCAGTACATTTAATTGAGAAATGTATGTTTTTTATTATGCTGTATTTTCTTTTATTTTTTAATTATTGTTTATATTTTCAATTAAAAAATGTACAAAATAAAATTACATTGCTGGTCTTGTAAGAGCTATACAATTTTCCTAAATGTATACCTATAACTGCAGCAGCTCACCTATTTCAAAAGTTGGAGTTCTGTTCATTTGTTATCTTTAAGACCACCTCAAGTTTAAAGGCTACCTTATTGTACCTTAAAGTGTATTATAACAGTGTGTTAGTTAATAAAACACTATTTTTCTTTTGAAAATAAAATAAAATAAAAATAATCAAAGGAGGGTCAGGGACAAGAGGCTTGGGGCTCAAAAGTGTATCATTCTGGGGCTGGGATGTGGGTCAGTGGTAACAACTTGCTTAGCCTTACAAAAGCAGAAACAAAAAACACAAATCCAACCCCCATCCCCAACATACAAAGGTTTAATTCTCCCTTGGTAGAAAACCGTTAAGGTCCTTTCATTCCTCAGTGACAGGTTACTCTGCACCAGCCCAAACTGTATAATAAACATATGAAACATACAAGCACACTGGCTTTTCTCAAGTTAATATTACATTCTTGTCCCAGCTAGGAGAACGTGCTCTGGTCTGGTGGGGAGAGTAAGGACTGGGGGGGTGGGGGTGGGGCTGGACAGAGCTTTGTCACCAGGAGCACAGCCCAGGGAGGGACATCTTGCCCCAGGCCACAGACTTCAGAACAGGATTTTTCTTTCCTGAGTTAAGGGACTTGCACAAGGCCAGGGCAGGAACTTAGATCTGACTACAGGGTTGACTGTGTGTGATGTCTCTGTTCTGACTAACCAACCGCCCAGGCAGCCGAGGCACAGCGAAGGGGCCCAAAGCTGCCCAGCCAGAAGCTTCATTTCCTAAGCTACTGGGAACTGTGTTTACCCAGCCAGTCTTGCCTAGAGCCAATGTGCAACTTAAGGGCAGAGAAGTGCCCACTTGACCTCTGGATCCATAGTACCCACTGCAGGGATGAGTACCCAGAAGACATAGTATGGGAGTGCTAATGCAATAGCTGATCCAGTAAGACAAGTATTCTGAGCTTATAGTCCATGGGAAGACAGATGGACAAGGCAAGAAGTGAGACACACAGAATAGACAGTGAGTGCCTTGTGGATGTGGAGACCAAAACAAAGTGGGACGGAGCAAGATGGTGAGGGGGCCCCAAGTGGGGACTGTACAATGTGGAGATCTAAAGGAAGAAGAGAGAAGGGTATAAGGCACTGAGAACACATGCTCCAGGTAGAAGGAACAGCATACATGGAGGCCCTGAGCTGGGGAAAGGTCTGTTCTGCTCAGAGGGCCAGTAGCCTACAGGACTGGAGCGGGTATGACATGAAATGAGGTGGGAGAGGCAGGGCAGACCATGCAGAGCCTCGGAAGCCAGGTTAAGGATTTAATTGTTTATTTTAAATGTCATGGAAGACACAGAAGGTAAATGAATGGCTTGGCCCACTCTGATTTTTCCTGAGACTGTTCTGGTCACTGTGTGGAGACTAGATGGGTACAGAGCGAGAACCAAGGCAGGGAGGCCAACAAGGTGACCGTGGAGTCCAGCTGAGGAAGAGAGAACCCTGCCCTGGTGTGGAGGGGTGAGCTGCTCCACTTCAGAGATAGTCAGCTTATGTAGCTGATGGTCTGGTGTTGGATGAGGAAAAGAACCAGGGCACTGGGCAGATAGAATAGCCACGTACTGACAGCGGAAAGCTGGGGAAGGAACTCTGTGCTGTAAAACCTCAAGTTGGTGACAATGAACTTCAAATTCTGTGACCATCCGTGTTGGAGATATCAGGTGGCTTGTTAATAGAGTGTGGGGCTCACAGGACACACAGGAGAGAAAGGGTGCTCTGGCCTAGATGGTTGTGGTTTGGATCTGAAATGTCCCCCACAAATTCATGTGTTGACGGCGTGGTCTGTGACATTAGCAGTATTCAAAGGTGGGGGCTTTGGGAAGTGAATAGGTCATGGAGGCTTTGACCTCACTCTCTGATATTCTTTTTTTTGGGGGGGGGGTTGAGACAGAGTCTCTCTATAGCTCCAGCTGGCCTGGAGCTCACTATGTGGACCAGGCTGGCCTCAGAGATCCACCTACCTCTGCCTCCTGATTGCTGGGATTAAAGGCGTGCACCACCACACCCAGCCTGATACTCTTTTTTTAATTACCTAATTACTTTTATTTTATGTGTGTTTTGCTTACATGTATGTAATTGCACCACTTGGGCACAATGCCCACAGAGACCAGAAGAGGGTTTCATGAAGTAACTGTTCTGGGCCAGTCCTGACTCCAGGTTATGCCTGGTTTGGCATTCTCCCAGCCACTAGCTTCCCCTAGCAATACATTTGGGGCTTTTCACAGCCCTGACTATGGACTAGAAGTGCAACCAAAACTACTGTAGCAAGATCTCTCTGACCTCCACCTGGTCCTGCCTTTATAAACTCTGTACCCTGAGCTTCCGCACTGAGAGCATTTCAAAGGCACTATCCTCTCTCAGGAGTTTATCAATAAAGAACTCCTTTTCCTTTTAAATGGCTTATGTATGTGGTGGTGATCTGTAATTTTCTTGGCTGAGTATAACAGTCAGATCTCCTGGAACTGAGTTACTGACAGTTGTTAGCAGCTATGTGGGTACTGGGACCTAAACCTAGGTCCTTGGCAAGAACAGCCAGTGCTCTTAATTGCTGTGTCTCTCCAGACCCACTGATAGATTCTTAACCCAATGGGATATTGGGAGGTGATGAAAGGCTTATGAAGTGATAGATGGGGCTAGCTGGGGCTCTGAACTGGGATATTTGTCTCTACCTCACAAGAAGGGGCTCACCCCTCCACAGTAGGCTCCTCTGTGCCTCCCCCTCCCACCTGCTTCTCACCTGGAGACCACCAGTGGTAGGATCAGCATCTTCAACATCCTCATCAAGAGCTCACCAGGGAACTGGAAATAACTAATCTCCTGAAAATACAGCAAAAGCTAGGTTACAACAGGTGGTGCAGACTTGGCATTGTTTACTTCCTTACCGTCTTCAAAGCACTATCCAGTCTGCTCCCTCGTGCCTGGCACCTGAGCAACAGTGGCCAGGGATAAAGAACTGATTGGGAGTCAAACAGACCTGAGGTCCAATCTCGGTAAGCCCCCTTCTTTATAACCAGCTCGGTGTCCTCAAGCCCACTGAGTTTTCTCACCTCTGACAGAAGGATAATAATTAGCTCATGGTCATTGAGACACTCTACTGAGAGTCTGAACATGAGGACCTCTCACCACATCTGAGTGAGTTAAGTCATCCCAGTAAACAGCAGCTCTACCCATCTGTACCGTTCACCCACCATCCATGTGAAGTCTGCTCTACTTATCAGAGAGTAAGTAGCCAAGAGGGCAGGCCTGCATATTCATATTCTGCAGATTTCATAGTTCTGACAACTTGTCAGAACCTCTTGCAGAAGAGACTCTAGCCTGGACAACGATGGGCCAGTGACGGGTGGGACCACACTTTGAGCAGGGCTGCTTGATTACACACCTCCATTTAAACTTAAACCTTCATATTAGAAACCCGAAGGTGGACTTTTAGTTCCTCTTCCCAGTGTGGTCACATTGAATAAACCTCCTTGCCCTGCTTTGCGCTTGTTTCTTTAACTGGCCTGTTGAAGATGAGGGGCCACGCCTAGCTTATTAGAGCAGCCAGGGCCCAGGCTTAGACCCTCCTGAACCCACTAACAAGCTGTTTCCCAGTGACCGGCCGAGGACTGGCACCCTCTGCTGTTGTTGTTTTCTTGGTCTAATGTAACTGGATTGCCATTCCTAAAGCTTCAAGTCTCCCGTTTCTGGTGACACTAGATTGGGACCATTTCTCCAGAGGGGGAGGGTGTAGGCAGAAGGATCTGAAGACACCATCCTAGTAACATTTTGGTTCCTGAAACTTTTTAAACCTGTGTCAAGCTGGGAATGATGGCTCATGCCTTTAGTCCCAGCACTTGGAAGTCAAATGCAGGTGGATCTCTTTGAGATCAAGGCTACCCTGACCTTCATATCAAGTTTCAGGTCATCTGGGGCTACAGGGAGCCCCTGTCTCAAAAACAAAAAGAAAAAGAAAAAGCTGTGTCAAACATAATGATTTATTAATGGTGTGATGTTTGAGAAGCCCCAAGCCATAGAACTGGGGTACTGTAAAGATCCCATCCAGCCCACTCATTTCATAGAAAAGGAAGCTGAGTTGGGAGAGGTAGGTGACATAGTCACCTAGTGACATGTAAGAGAGAGAACCATGCTTCCTAGGTCCATTATGTTACCATTTCCAATGAATCAGAAAGAGCTCACAGAAGGGGCTGGAGAGATGGCTCAGTGGTTAAGATCACTGACTGCTCTTGCAGAGGACCTGGGATTGATTCCCAGTACGCATATGGCAGCTAACAACCATCCATAACTCCAGTTACAGGGGATCTGACATCTTTTTCTGACCTCTATGGGCATTGCATGACACAAGTGCACATATACACATGCACACAATACACTCATACACACACACACACACAAATATATGTCTTGGAGGTCAGTTACAAAACCAGATTAGGGACTGGAGAGATGGCTCAGCAGTTAAGAGCACTGGCTGCTCTTGCAAAGGACTGGGGTTCAATCCCAGCACCCACATGACAGCTAACAACTGTCCATAATTCCAGTTCCAGAGGATCCAATGATATCTTCTGTCCTCGGGCATTGCACAACACAGGTGCACTTACCTACATGCAGGCAATACATGCATACACATTAAAAAAAAAAGAGCTTACAGAAAAACACTTCCCTCTCTCTCTCTGTCTCTCTCTGTCTCTCTCTTTGTGTGTGTGTGTGTGTGTGTGTGTGTATGTGTGTGTAGGTCAGAGAATAACTTGTGTGAGTCAGTTTTCTCCTTCCACCATGTTGGATCTGGAGATTGAACTCAGGTTATCAGGCTTGGCAGCAAACATCTTTACCCCCTGAGCCACCTCAGCCCTAGTATTAATATTTCTAACATGATTTCAATGCTCTTTCTTATGTGGCCATGTGTGTGTGTGTGTGTGTGTGTGTGTGTGTGTGTGTGTGTGTGTGTACATATTCATGTGTGTGCCCATGTATATAAAGGCTAAATGTCAATGTCAGTGTCTTCCTCAATGTGTTCCCTTTGTGACAATTTTTGACACTCATTAACTTCCTTGCCATGAGTGGTAAGGGATTAGTTTCTGCCCTTTTCTCATCTCACTATTATGTTTATATCAACTTTTGAGTGAATTACATGGCCAAGATTAACAATGTATTTATTATTATTATTGTGTGAGTGAGAGAGAGAGAGAGAGAGAGAGAGAGAGGGAGAAATGCACATACATGGACATCAGAGGACAACTTTCAGGAGTCAGATCTTCCCTTCTACTGTGGGCTCTGGAGATTGAACTCAAGTCACTTTTACTTGCTGAGCCATCAATCATTAAATATTGTTCACTGCTGAGTCAAATAACATTCATACAGCCATACCCTATTGCTTGTATGATTTTCATTTTGCCCTGAAATTAATAATTAACTGGGTTTTTGTTTCATTTGCTTTGTTTTCTGTGAACAACTCTTAATGTCTTTTAAATGTTTTATCTATTAAAATAACTAATGAAAATTTTTCTACAACTTAAGCACAGCAGTTCCCTTTTATCCCACCCGGACCTCAGTCCAATAGCTCTCCATCTTCCTGTTCTGGTTTGGGCAACCCACTCTCTGGGCCCAGGAGCTGCCATGGCCTCTTCTTGGCTTTCATTCTGGGATTTATCATGTACAGGATCTAGTGTTCCCTGAGCCTTTGCTTTCTTGGCTCCTGTTCTTTTTTGCTGGATCATCTCCTTTGGTAGCTTCCGGAGAAAAGGCAGAGGGAAGGTAACTTCTTTGTTCCATCCGTCCCTCTGACAATGATCTGGCTCTTTGTGAGATTCTTGGTGGAAAACAGTTTGCTTTTCTGGTTTTCAGTGTACTTTATTATTATTGTGTGTGTAGATGTGTGATGTGTGGTGTGTGTATGGAGTGGGGGGGGGACAGGGTGCCCTCAGAGGACAGTTTTTTGGGAGTCTTTTCTCTCCTTCCACCTTTGTGTGAGTTCCGGGATTGAACTCAGGTTGCCAAGCTTGTGTAGCAACTGCCTTTACCAGCTGAGTCATTTTGCTGGCCCTCCTCTTCCAGTTTTGAAGGGATGCTTTTTCTTAAACTTTCTTAAAGAGGAACAGATGAACCTTAAATGTTCCAAGGGGACAAAGCAGGACTCACTAAGAAATAGGAACTGGCCCCCGTTCTGTTTAATGATAACCATATCTTCTTTCATAGCTCCACTGCTCTTGTTTTGTTTTGGTTTTTGTGACAGGGTCTTCCTGTAGCTCCAGCTGGCTTGGAACTCACTATGTAGACAAGGATGGCCTCAATTCACCTGCCTCTGCCTTCTGAGTGCTGGGATGAAAGGCATGCACTACTTCACCTGGCTCTCCGATGTCTTAAGAAATGATTTTGAGTTCCCTTCTACTCCCTGCATCACTATCACCTGCATCACCTGCATCACTCTTTTCTCTTTGGTTTGGTCTCTGGTTTTGACATTTGCAGCTTCCCTCAAATTTTCAGTGCCTTGGCTTTGTGCTCATAGGTAAGTGTGAAGCAATAAGCTTCTGGGGCTTGTCACCATGACACCTCGAGGCAGAATAGGACCTGCGGGAGGGGCCAGGAACCTCTTTGCTACCAGAATTCAGAGGCCTTTCTGTGATGCTCTGGTGAGAGGCCCTTTGCCTGGAACAAGACTGTGCCTAAACACAGTTGTTAGCTGCCAGCTGTCCTGTGGTCCCACTGGGGAGCTGCACCTAGAATGCAGGTGTCTGCAAGTTAGCCTGAAGCATGGGCCTCACTGCTG